TATCGGCACGACCTGTCAATGGCCAATTTGTGCAGTGTCACTGAAGCAAGAAATGTGTCAGAGATGTGGTCGCAATGAAAATACCTATTCCATGATGACCACTGTCCAGTCCAAGCCTGTAAACCAACACACCGCTGCCATGTACCCTGCATGGATCAACAGCTGATGTACTTATTGAGCAAGCGAAATCAACTGCATCGAACATGGCTCAAGGAAAGAACAGATCGGCGCTATGAATCATACCGACTTGCACCGAGTGAGGCTACATCCTGCAACCGTGAGAAGAAGCGGTTCCACTACTTAGCAACATTCAGCCGATGCGAAGGAAAAGCTAGACGCTCTTTGCAAGTCATCAAAGAACTGACAGGAAAAGTCCGTGTGAACCCTCCACCACAGTGCTCAGCAGAGGAGATAATATCTGCAGTACATGTATTTGCGACTATTGTGGACGATAAAACTAGACCGCCAGTGCTCCGAATTCCCTCTGATGCCGCGCCGCGGATGAACTTGTACTCGCTTCAGCCAGTATCTATAGCGAAGGTCAGAAAGCTGCTGCAATCAGTGAATTCAACTTAAGCAACTGGAAGCGATGGTATACCAACTGTACTTCTCCGTTTGTGTGGGGATATGCTGGCCCCATCGCTGACTTTGCTGTTCAACAGATCACTGAGGGAGGGAAATTCCCAGAATCAATGAAAGTGGCATGCATCCGCCCACTTTTCAAAGCCGGTGACCCCAGCCAACTTACGAACTATAGACCAGTTTCCCTACTCCCTGCGGTCTCCAAGATCCTTGAACGGATTGTTCATGAGCAACTGTCTTATTTTCTGGAGAGCCAAGATCTGCTACCAATGGAATAATTTGGCTTTCGTAGCCACCACTCCACCTCTGATGCCCTAGTGTTAACGATTGAGCAAATTAAACAGGCACAAGTGGCACGCCTCTACACTGGAGTCGCTTTTGTAGACATGTCGAAAGCCTTCGACAAAGTGCAGCATCAGACTCAGATTTATATGAGGGTACAGTATAACCCGACTACGAGGGTAATATCCTACTTTTGCCAGGTACCCCTACGCATTTCCAGAACAACGAACCTATTTGGAGATCTCCTACATCATACAGTACATGAATATGTTCTGCTGGTTATCAGTTGTCAAGAATTGTCGAGCAAGATCAGAAGGAGATTCCTCCGTGGATGTTTGGCATAAGATTTCCTTTCAGGTCCAGTGAATATTGTAGCATATTGTCTCGTGAGCGGTACGGAAGTCAACTGAATTGTTGAGGTGCTCGAGTTGTCGTTGACCTAAACTACATTCTCTAGTTAGACCACAGTACAGTTTGGACTCTTTGGGAGTAAGTGTTACTATTATCATGATTATGGTACAGTGCTGATTTTCACATGCGGCATCTTATAATCAGTTTTGCTTACTTGCAAGTACGGTCAACTTCGCTTATAACGACTGCGGATATAACGACCAATCGCGAATAACGACAGAATTTCCATGCCCAGAGCAAAGTCCCATCCCACGGTAATACATATAATGAGACTTCGGGTATAACGACACTTCACGAATAAGGACACCTTTTTGATGCCTCGCCGAGTGTCGTTATAAGCGAAGTTGACTGTAGATGCATTTTCATACACTGTTTGTATCACATTTCAATCCATTCTAGCGTTTTCCAATCGGTTTAGGTGGATTTGAACTTGAAGTACACTCTGTATCATAAACCTAGTTACGAAGGAGAAAGTTTGTTGATGTTCTTCAACTATTCGAGCTACAATGTACATTGTTGATCCATTCGGGATAATTCGTGGTTATTTGACGTTCTTTATCCTCAGTTTCAGTATAATAGAATACTCGGTAGACGAATTCCAGGTCATTCTTATTTTCCATGGTGTACTGTTCCTCGTCAGTAATTCCGTTCTGTGTGGAGTGTACACGTTCACGTGGTGTACATGTACTGTATGTGGTATCTGTTGTGAATGGACCGTGCGCTGGAGTACTGCCATCGTCCATGTTCACTGCCTTTAATTCATTTCAGGCAGTGAACTTGTATGGTGGCAGTGCCCTAGTGTATGTACCGTGCACAGGGAGTTATATTCAATATCGGTCAATGTAAATCCCCGCGCGGGATTTATACTGGCCAATATAACCATGGCTAGACGAGCGCTGATTGGCCGAAAACAGGCCCTCCATACCGTACCATTGTATAAATAAAAGAATACTTCCTCCGCGTCATCGAAATTGTCGCAGTTTGACTAGTGACTTTTCACTTGTTACTGCCAACTCCATAAGCTAAACCATACAAAACGTATTACACAGTATGATAGTGTGAAGGCTAGAGTAACGTTCCAGGACATTAGGACTGAGAGTTTTCACGCAGAGATGCAAACCTCGTCGTCGCTGATGTCAATGGACGCAAAAATATCGTTCCGAAATATTTCAAGGAAGGTTGTAAGTTGGTCGCGCCTCATCTCAAACGCTCATCTCAAACGCTTTGACTTTCTCCAGAGGACAAGAGCTGCTATGCTTGTCGTCTGCTAGCTCTGGATGATTTCTACTTCACCACCACCGAAGTAAGAATACACAATAGTTGCGAGGTCGGTTGATTACCGTCGATGGAATCACCTCGATCTTGAAATGAACTTTTTTTAGCCGTGGCATGCCCATTAATTTTAGCTGTTTACTGTGTAGTCACAGCTCATGCAGGTAAGTGTACTATCACGTCCAGCGCGCACTCATTTTCAGCATCACTGGTACGGCACCTGCGCGTGCATCACTACACACTAGCACTATACGTAGAGTCTACACGGCTCTTGCAGGTACAATCATGTACTGAGTGTCTCAGCGAGATCGACAAATTTTATCGCTCTTGCATGCATTTTAGTTTGCTGACCCCTCGATGTTTCTCCAAGCTTGTTCCACGAAGTCATTCTCACCCCAGCTCAGGTAAAACAGTGATGAGTTCTTGAGTGACTGGCTATAAGCGTGAGAAATGTGCAGGCTCCAACGCCTGACTGATCTCAGTGAGTTGAAAGTACCATAGCAGCGACATCAGCGAAGAAATTGAGTCTCGGTTCAAAAGGTTCTGCTTCCAATAACAGAAAATAGAACTTTACCGTCACCCTATATTGATTACTATCACCTATATCCGATTCCTTGCCTGTGGTACGAGTGCTGGTGAGTAAATACCCCGTTTTATATCAAAAGTCAAACTGCGACAATTTCGATGACGCGGAGGAAGTACTACTACTAAAAATTTGCTCTTAAAGCGGAAGTATACCCTAAAATGAAATTTTGACCAGTGGTAGTCTTAGGGGTGCTGAGTCGAATGGTCTTTGTCTGAAGAAGCTGAGACGCTCCCTTTCTCCTTACTTCTCAATCGAACTTGCGAACTTCCACCAAAACTGGGTCACTATGCCCTACTAGATAGGGATTTGTATCAAAAAAGTCACTTAAAACAACTTTTCGTTATCAGAAAAGCACGGATGACCGCGATTGGTCCGTATGTTGTAGCCTTTTGGCCGCTGAGTCGACTGGTTTTCGTCCCTAATTCCCAATCGAACACTGTTGAGTATGCGGTCGAGTGCTCTTGCGTACACCAGTCGCCTGGTCACCGATCCTGCAGGCTACAATTTTCACACAAGGGTTCAACTCAAAGGTTCAAACTAGGGATTCGTAAAAGGCTTTTTACGACTCCTTGGTTCAAAGGTTCAACTCGAGCGACAGAAACGCGCCCAAACGGGCTGTAAATTGTTACCTTAGGGCACGATGACCAGGTGACTGGTGTACGCATGAGCAAGCGACCGCTTACTCAACCGTATTCTATTGAGAATAAGGGCCGAACGCTGCATCGTAGCCTTTTTGGACCAAGACCAGTCGACTCAGCGGCCAAATGACTACAACATATGGACCAATCGCGGTCGTTCGTTCTTTTCTAAGAACAAAACGGCTTGTTCATTGACTTTTCCATACAAATCCCTATCTAGTAGGGCGCAGTCACACAGTTTCGGTGCAAGTGCGCGAGTTCTATTAGGAATAAAGGAGGAAGGGACCGTCTTAGCTTCCTGGGACAAAGACCATTCGACTCAGCAACCCGAAGACTGGAACTAGTGAAAAATATATGTTAGGGTATACTTCCCCTTTAACACTTTCAGGGCCGCTAGTAATTCTACGTATTCCCGCCAAGGCACGCACTGACGCGTGCCCCAGCCAGCGTATGCGAATGTAAAAATTTATATTTTCACTCACCAGTGGCATAACGTCTCCATTTTGGGCTCATCAGCAAGCCACAGATCTCCTCTCTCCGAATCATGCAACTAGTTGACCAGCAGGAGCAACACAATCGCCTTCATGCCATTCGAGTGCTGCCATTTGAGGGCTGCCATTGCCCCTGAGTGAAATACTTTGCCCACCTCAACAAATGTCTCCGATTTTGAAGTGTTACTCAAGTGTTACGCAGAACCACGATTAAAAATTCTCCAGGTTCATGAAGCTCAGGCGAATCATTGGGCTCTACTTCTCATGCGCCGTGCATCGATGAGTCATAGGGGAAGGCCCCGTTTGAAAGATACATGTACTGATAGGTACAGATCACTGTGCACACAATTTGTCAAAAGGTTCAAGCGTATTTTTGGGTTTCACCCCTCAAGGCTCCGCGAATCCACATCACGCTTCATCATACGACATATCACTGGAACGCGATATATCTCGGCTTTCCAACGAGCTATCATTTGCGAAGATCGGAGAAAGGACATCAGAGTTACGAAAATGTGCACGCAAGTGTATGTGCAGTGTGCAAAATAATGTACGCACTCTCAGGACGAGTATACTCGTCCAAAGGACTCGAGCCAGGAACCTTCGCGTATGGCCCGCAAAAACTCTACGACTAAGCCATGTATTTAGGCATCGTCTCAGAAAAAAACGCTCAACATTTTCTCCAGACTTGGAAACTCACGCCAAACTTTTTCCCCAAGAGAATTGTTAAAAGTCGCTTACTTTCTGGACGAGTTGCAAATGGAGTCCCTCCCGATACTGAACTGCTAAGTCCTGCCACTGTTTTCACGTAAGCTGAGATATTGTAAAGTGTGTTGCTTTTACAATTGAGCCGAACAGAGTTTAGAGTCCCGCACACAGAAATTGTCCCAACGTCCATATCAGTGTTGGCTGCAGTGAGCGCTGGTCCGTACGTAAAGCAGTATTCACTGATATTAGACAAGTAGGTTGCAGGGTGTAAGGCAGCAGAAACCGCCAGTTCATATACCCACGTGGAGTTCAAATGTATTTTGACCGGTGCTGCAGGATGGCAATATTACAAATACAGACAGGAGTTGTGAACAAGAGACAGCCAATGCATGGGGTTAGGTACCACAACAGGTCGTGATACTTTCACAAAGAACCAGAAGCCTCACGCAATAGGTTCAAGAGCAAATTATCTGTTTATAGTGATGGTAAGGGTTACGGGCGACGTAATAACAATTATTATAATGACGGACCCGCATGTTTCTCATTGAGCTTAAAGCATCTGTTGATGAGGTTATTCGAATTCTGCGATCTTGAGCCCAGGTGAGAGCTTCGTGGATGGTGAGATAAATTGATTTCAAATCTTGACGGATGGTGTCAATCTAAGTCATGGGGCCTGTTTCTGTTGGAGATGTCAACAGCTAGGTTGAGTGCTTGACGTTTGAATAAGGTCGCTTTTCATCTCTTTGGCCAACATAATGGAGAGAATAAGGTCGCGTTTCATCTCTTTGGCCAACATGATGGAGCCATAGCAGTGTCCCGGTCTTGCAGAGTGAGCTGATCGATGCACTTATATATTGTGCCCAAATGCCACTGTTAATCTACGAGAATACGTAGGATCAAGCATCGAAACATGTAGAGCGGCGAGTCTAGTTAGTGAGTGCCACTTCCATGAGGTGGTGGAGAAGGCCAGGATAGCTGTACTGTGGACTCGTTTACACGACAATGATTGAAGAATGTTTTTGTCATATTTCTTTTAAAAGATAACACGCCACCACAGATTTTGTTAGTAGCATTTACAAGAGAACGCTGAAAAAACGTTTCGATGCAAAAAGCCGTTCCGTTATGTTCTGGTGTAAATGGTAAAAACATTTTCGCTTCCACGTAAATCGTGTGACGGGAGAACCAGATCAATATTCTTGTGCGCATCTGCATTCGTGCACAGTCCAGCAGGAAAGTCTCTAGCGCAATGGTTCCTTCGGTTTGGACTGCCACGTCTCTGGCAATCACGGTTGTTGCCGGCGAGAGAAATTTGATGTGGAGTAGTCAATGAATGGACTAAGGTTCCAAGACATTTCGGAGATAAATTTCCCATCGTCATCTTTCAGGTGAGTCGGCGGAACTTTTAGAAATATTTATCAAGCAAGGAATACACAATGTGCTCACTCATATCACAATCAAATGAACGAAGAGGAGTTCGAACTCGGAAATGGAGCAAAAGTAATTATCGTAATCAGATCAGAATTATACAATCAGCGAGTGCAAAAGAACTGTCAAGGAGTGCAGAGACATTCGACGACCTGACACTTAGCTCCAACACTTCTACGAGGCGCTAACCAAGAACCTTTCAGCTTGGAAGTCGCAGGTAAGGACACGTCCTAGAGGGGAAGGAAAGCGCAACGAAGAAGAGCAGGATCTAAATCCCACGGGCAAAAGAATGCCGAAAGTCACTGGATGATTACGAAACTAAGTTAGTACTTGGTCCGACCTATTAAAATGTGCGCTTCGCTTCAAAACTCAAGCATATGTCTAAAGGAGCACCTGTACTAAAAAATTGACCAAGAGACGGTAGATAGTTAACTCCTGTGTCGTTTCTTGGCCTGACCTTCTAGTTTTCATCTCTGCTGGTGTCTCAGGGCGCATCTGCAAGTGCGCCAACCTGCAAAAAAGAAGAAAAAAAAGACTACGACATTTTTTCATCTCCCCAAGCTACACTGCGCTTCCTTGATTTTTTTCACTCCATAGGCACGATTTAGACGATCGACTTCGCCTCCTCCTCGTGCGGTACGACTGCCAGAGTGGTGGCTGTAGGTGTTTTCGCCTGACGCTCCCACTACACCTTCAAATGAGGCGAACAAGTAAACCACCAAGCATAAAAAAATACTTCTCGTCATCGTGTGCCTCGCGCGTACTGAGTCTGATCTGTGTCGACATGAATGTCACGCAGTCAGCTGCATCAGAACATGCGTGCTCTTCCCTGCCTGTTTCACGAATCCACTGGCCCTGGAGACTGGCGACCTTGTGACGCATCGCGAACGCGGCTCCGAGGAGTCGGCGAGGACTCCGCACCATTCACCATTCACCCTTTCTGCGCTTCAGTTTTTCAGCCAGGTTGTCACCTGAAAGTCAACCTCAAAGGCGGTTGTTTATATGGATCAACTTTTCGACGATCTCTTCCGTGATCTTGATTCGTCGGCGGCCACATCGTGAACGAATGCGAGAGAGATCAGCACAAACTGGACCCAGCGATTCTTGTGCTTTCTGCACGAGTTAAACTCTGTTTCTGGATGACGCGTTTGCTGAACTTGATTCTTCCAAGGAAACAGCGACTGCAGCGATTTCAATCTGCCAGGAGGCACTCAAGAACGATCGCCCAGGGGTTTCTGGTACTCCGTGACAATTCCCTATCGCAATGGGGTGTTGATTTCAGCCCCAGGCCTTCTCTGTGTTGCGCGAGAAACAACAGGAGTCCTCTGACGACAGAATTTGGACGCAAACTGCTCGAGTCGACTAGGATCCTGAGGCGCTGCCTCCTTTGGAGTTGGGCCCATTTCTTTTTCAACTTCACAAATCGACAACTGAAGGATAGTGTTAGGTAGCTGGAAGGTTTCTTCCGTCCTGAGATTATTTGAATTGGTTTGGTTGACGTTCGAAGCGAAAAGCACATGTTAATAAGTCGGACCAAGTAAGACCGTTGGAAATACCGGCTTCTCGCTCCACACAGAGACATAGACAGCAATAGCGACACTACACAAAATGAAGTTTAGTTGGCCTCAGCCAGATGTGACCCGGATAACGAGTGAGGTATAGAAGCAAGGACTGAGAACAGGGTGCCTCAGATAGAATAGACGTGCCACTGGATAGCAGAAATAGGCCATGATGCAGAACCACTTGGGACCGTCAGATTAATTTTTCTGGACCGAGCCAGCCGGGAAAAAACTCTCGCGCCGACGGACTCAATTGTGAGCGAAAAACACTGGTGTATATCCCGAATGGCGATTAGGAATAATGTAGGCATGGCAAGCACATCACGGCAAAAAGTGATAAAAAAGCAATGATGATATGCACAGAAATGAAGGGTGGGAAGGCTAGGGCAGGGACACTGGTGAGACTCAAAAATGGACTGAAGATATCAGGAAAAGAAGCGACAGTAAAGAACACACCAGATGCCATATTTATTATTAGTATTATTATTATTAACTGGTTTGAGGGAAAGAGACAAACGGGAAAAGTCTGAAGAAAAAATTGACTGTCACCACCAGGACTCGAACCAGGGACCCTCGCTTGTAGCCAGCGATGCTCTAACCACTGAGCTATGGTGTAGTCGTCATCCAAGCAGAGACCGTTCAACGTTTTCTTCAGACTTCGTAACTCACACATTCTGTGAATCCACACAGGCGGGTGGGACGCAGCCCTCACTGTACCCACACACTTCACGTACAAACTAGCACGCGGGGAGCCCCAAGTCATAAAATATTAACTGGTTTGAGGGAAAGAGACAAACGGGAAAAGTCTGAAGAAAAAATTGACTGTCACCACCAGGACTCGAACCAGGGACCCTCGCTTGTAGCCAGCGATGCTCTAACCACTGAGCTATGGTGTAGTCGTCATCCAAGCAGAGACCGTTCAACGTTTTCTTCAGACTTCGTAACTCACACTTCCTGTGAATCCACACAGGCAGGTGGGACGCAGCCCTCACTGTACCCACACACTTCACGTACAAACTAGCACGCGGGGAGCCCCAAGTCATAAAATATTAACTGGTTTGAGGGAAAGAGACAAACGGGAAAAGTCTGAAGAAAAAATTGACTGTCACCACCAGGACTCGAACCAGGGACCCTCGCTTGTAGCCAGCGATGCTCTAACCACTGAGCTATGGTGTAGTATTATTATTATTTATTACTTCAAGTACTTGAATGTACGCGTTGGAGTCAACCATGCAAGCGTGATGCACAACCTCGCTTATGCTGAACATGATAAACAGGACTATGGCAGGGGAAAGAAATTGAGCTAGAACAATGATAATTATAATGATATAATCATCATGTACAATGTAGCTCATGGGTATTGAAGATATGTCATTTATGAATATGTCTATATGTCATTGAATATTGCAGTGGGAGTGATAATAATATTGCTATTTACTGAGTTTGACTGTTTCAGGATCTGTCGGAATATCACGATGCACAGATCTTCATACATAGATCTCGCCATGCGGGTCGGTCATGGGCAATGGCTCGCAGGCACTGCCATATTTGCAACTGAAAATATTTCGAGAGAAATACAAATTTACTACAAATGAAGCACGCCAAGCCACAGACCACCCAATTTGGAAGGCTCAGGTTTATTTTAAGGAACGGACAACATGTTACTAGTTTTGTGTTACTGTTCGCCAACGTAACCCTATGTTAATTATACAGTCAACGAGTGCAACAAAAAGGCACAAAACTGACAAGGACTCCTGAGGAGGGGAAGCGGATTATGCTCCGAAAATGATGACCAGATTATTCTCTAGCGGATGAGCGCAGGATGCTCGAGAAAGCAACCAGTTTTGCTTCTATATGCTTCACCAAAAAGACCAAACAAACAGACAATCGTCATGAAAACAAGAACTCAGACCATTGTCACGATGTAGACTGGGAGCTTTGTGGAAGCACAAGACAATAATGAGCAAGAGGAATATCAAATTCGCAAGAAAACATTAAATTGAAGCAAGGCAGTGATAGTAGACACCGTGCGGGAGCGGAATGCCCAGACCCATGCGCAGCAAAGGAGGGAAACTGTGGCTGTGGAGAGCGCAGCTGCTCAAGTGTAGGGTGATCGGGACAGGAGGCGTATTCTTGAGCTATCAGAGAAGGATGCCTCATCCTAGCTGACTGTATTACCTATCAGCGGGCCAAAATTTAGTGGTGTACTAGCTGTGCTAGTACTTGTTAGCAACAATCCGAACTAGTGCACACACTGCACTGCATTGCCTTGTACTGCATTCAAGACTGACGTCATGCGCTTTGTTTTGCTGCGCAATTACAAATGGCACCAGCCCATTTTGCGGA